CCCTCCAGGTCAAGCCACCAAGGAGCCTTTCAGGGGTGGCAGCAGGGTGAGCAGCCCAGGCACTGAGGCCAGTGCCCTCATTTACCAGCCCTACGGAGCCACTGAGGGCCTCAGTGCCTGCATCTTCTGTGGCTTCCCTGCGGCCAGCGAGAGCCTGCTCAGGGAGCATGTGAGACTGGTACATGCCCATCCCCACTGGGAGGAGGACAGCGAGACTTTCGAGGAAGACCCTGCCAGCCAACCCAGCACTAGCCAGGACACACACGCCTGCTTCCCCGATACCACCGTTGACTACTTTGGCAAAGCTGAGCCGCACTTGGCCCCCATGTGGCGGGAGAGTCCTGCTGGGTACGACCCCAGTCTGGCCTTTGGCCCAGGCTGCCAGCAGCTGGGCATGAGGGATTTTCCACTGTCAAAGACACTTACGCATGGCATGGGCCAGAGGCCTCTTGGAAGGCTGGCCTTTCCTTCCCCACTAGTGTCTACTCCCTACTCCTTACAGCTTGGTAGAAACAAAAGGGCTATCCACTCACAGGGGCTAGGGGACCAGAGGCGCCCATGGAGTGAAGAGGAGGAGGAGATGGAAGAGGAAGATGTAGTGCTGAGCTCTGGAATGGATTTCTCCCCTGAAAATGGGGTCTTGCCACCTCCAGCCACCCCCAGCCTCATCCCACAGCCTGCCCTAGAGCTGAAGCGAACATTCCAAGAAGCCCTGCGGACAGCCGATGCCTCACGAGCCCAGCAGCAGCAGCTCCGAGGGATGGTGCCCATCGTGCTGGTGGCAAGGCTCGGGCCACAGGTCATGGCGGCAGTGGCCAGGGTGCCCCCGAGGTTGCAGCCCGAGGAGCTGGGGCTGACGGGTGCCCATCCTCTGGACTTCCTGCTCCTGGACACGCCACTGGGTGGCCCACTGGGACTCGACACACTCCTGGATGGGGACCCGGCCATGGCACTGAAGCACGAGGAGCGGAAATGCCCCTACTGCCCTGATCGCTTCCATAATGGCATTGGCTTGGCCAACCATGTCCGGGGTCACCTGAACCGCGTGGGCGTCAGCTACAATGTGCGGCATTTCATCTCTGCTGAGGAGGTGAAGGCCATCGAGCGCAGGTTCTCCTTCCAGAAGAAGAAGAAAAAAGGTAGGGCAGCTTCGCTTCAGCTCACCTCCCTCCACAGCCCGGGAGACACACCGCTGGGCCGGCCACCCTTGATCTAAATTCTCCCTTAGCCCCAAGCAAGGGGAATTTGGGGCTTCCACTTCTGAGGGACCTGGGAGCTGTAGTAAAGACCACCCCATCAGTGAACGTGTGGGGATGCCCCAATACCCAGGCCATTCCTTCATCTGTCAATTATTTATTGAGTAAGGTCTCGTCTGTTCTGGGCACTTGGGGACACAGCCATGAACAAAACAACAATCCTTGGTCTCCTGGAGTTCATAGCCTAATCCAGGAAGGGTGGGAACCTCTACCCCCATCTGCCAGCTTCAGAACCCCCTGGGGCTGTCTGTGAACTATGCAGGTTACTAGGCTATAGGGTTCTGATTCCATGAGTCCATCTCCAATGGGAGCACCCTGGGTGATTTCGATGTTGGCAAGACACAAAGCCTACTTGGGGAAGGTGCTGGTATGGTGGTTGAGAGAGACAGAGAGAAAGAAAAGGAGAGGGAGAGGGAGAGAATGTGTGTACATGCTAGGAGTAAGAATCTAGGGGTGGACAGCCAGGAAACCAGGCAGTGATAACATCGTGTGATCTGGGCTGAGATCGGAAAGATGGGAGGACCAGGAGGCTGGGGAGGCTGAGAAGAAGTCCCAACTTCCACTTGAGGGCTCAAAGAAGACTCCCAGTGGAGGGCATTACATCTCTTTGTCTATTTGTTTTCTTTATCCAACAAATATTTATTTATGGGCAACCCCTTCGGGTCCCCTCCCCCTGTGGGAGCTTTTCTGTCCTCTCAATAAATTCTGCTTTCAAAAAAACACAAATATTTATTTATCTACCTACTTATTTATTTATTGAGTTGGGGTCTCACTGTGTCACCCAGGCTGGAGTGCAATAGCATGATCACAGCTTACCACAGCCTTGAGCTCCTAGGCTCAGATGATCCTTCCGCCTCAGCCTCCTGAGTAGCTGTGACTGCAGGTGCATGCCATCGTGCCTGGCTTGTTTTTTATTCTTTTTTTGTAGACATGAGATTTCACTACGTTGTCTTAGGCTGGTCTCAAACTCCTGGACTCAAGCTATCCTCCTGCCTCGGCCTCCCAAAGTGCTAGGGTTACAGGCCTGAGCCACTGTGTTAGCCCCAAGTATTTAATTTACTGCACTGGGATGATAGCAAAAATAGACAGAGGAAGGGTATTCAGTGAATACCTTTCCAGAGGATTGTAAATCCACAATGGAGAAGTGTTTCTGAGGGAGACAGACCTGATGCTGCCAGATGTGGGAAGGGGAAACCTGGGAGTGTCAGGCTTCCTGGGATGAGGGCACTGCTGCACAAACTGAGAGCTGAGGGGCAGGCAGATGCGAATGGGACAGCCAAGGAGAAGGAAGGCAGTCCAGGACGAAGTCCTGGGAACAGGTCAGGATGGGGGCTGGAGAGTAGCCCCCTCCCCACCTCAGGCAGTCCATGTCTTCTCTCCACAGTGGCCAACTTCGACCCTGGCACCTTCAGCCTTATGCGCTGTGACTTCTGTGGGGCTGGCTTTGACACACGTGCGGGCCTCTCCAGTCACGCCCGGGCCCACCTACGGGACTTCGGCATCACCAACTGGGAGCTCACCGTCTCACCCATCAACATCCTGCAGGAGCTGCTGGCCACCTCAGCCGCTGAGCGGCCCCCAAGCCCCCTGGGCCGAGAGCCTGGGGGGCTACCTGGCAGTTTTCTGACCTCCCGCCGGCCCCGATTACCTCTCACGGTGCCCTTCCCGCCCACCTGGGCTGAGGACCCTGGGCCAGCCTACGGAGATGGTAAGGGGAGGGAACAGCTGGGCTGGTGCCTTGACTCTTCCCAGGGGCCCAGAGGGATGGGGGTGGAGGGGCAGCCACTCTGCTTTCCTGGAAGTACTTTACAAAGTATGCTGACAACTTTGCTCATCACCACCTGCCACTTAGGGATTATTTCTGTTTTACTCAGGGCTGGGCCAGAGCTCTTTTCTGGATCCAGTTTCTCCCTGCCTTTCCTAACAGTGACTTTAACAGATGCTTTATTTATTTATTTTATTTGAATTGGAGTCTCACTTTGTTGCCCAAGCTGGAGTACAGTGGCACAATCATGGCTGATTGTAGCCTCGGCCTCCTGGGCTCAGGTGATCCTTCTACTTCAGTCTTCTGAATAGCTGGGACTACAGTTCTGCACCACCATGCCTGGCTAATGTTTTTGATTTTTTTGGTAGAGATGAGGTCTCGTTATGTTGCCCAGGCTGGTCTTGAACTCCTAGTCTTAAGTGATCCTCCTGCCTTGGCCTCCCAGAGTACTGGGATTGCAGGTGTAAGCCACTGTACCTGGCCAGCAATTGCTTTTTGAACTCTTCCTAGGAGCCAGACATTGCTCTAAGCATTTTACAAACACGAACTCATTAACGTCCTCACAACATCCCTATAAGGCAGGTGTTATTATTATCCCCATTTTACAGATGAGGAAACGGAGGCACAGAGCTTATATAACTTGCCTGGAGTCATACAGCTGGAAGTAGTGGGGCCAGAAGTTGAAACTCAGGTAGTTGGGCTCCAGATTCTTTGCTGTTAATGTCATTGTCTATCTTGAGAAGCATTCTTGGATAGAACTTTCTGAGATGATGGATGAAAATGTGCTTCAGATATTTGCAACATTCTATAATGGTATCCACACATGTCTATTGGGTACTTGAAACGTGGCTAGGACCAGGCTAGTGATGATCCTATTGGACAGTGAAGTTTTACAGTCTAGATTTTCAACCAATGCTTGCTTTATCTGGCAACCCTGATGAGCCCCTCCCATAATCAAGTGCTCGCCATGTTCTAAGGTTTTAACCTGTATCATCTCATTTCTCATGTATGCCTCAAAACAAGTCATGGGGCAAAGATTGTTGTGTTCCCTTTTTATGGATAAGGAAACCATGTGTCATCTGCTTTGCCACAGACACAGAGGGGCAGAACTGGATTTCTGAGCACCTTGCTCGGTAGTATTTCTAGTGAAGGATGGCTTGGAAACGCAGAAGTCATATTTGGTGAAGGAGGCCAGGACTGGGTACCACAGAGGGAGTGGAAAAGTGAAAGACTCAAGCCTTGCAAAGCCTGACTTTGCAGGAGCTTTTGAAAGGCGGAGAACTTGGTTGTGAGGAGTTGGGCTCTGAGGAACAGAGGGTGTCCTAACGGGAATTTTCTCAAGGCTGCTTAGAGCTGGGGCTTCCTTCTATGTTTTTCCTACTTTGCAATGTCCAGGGTACTACCTAGATCTGTACTCTGGGCTGGATCAGACCCATCTGCAAGTCCACTGAGAGGCACTGAGGTGTCTGCAAAGGGGATTGTGGGGCTTTCAAAGCCCCTTCTCCCTGAAGGCACAGAGAGGATAGTGGCTGGTTGAGGTCACATCTCAGGGAGAGGCAGCCTGGAGACTTTGCCTCAGGCTTCTTGCCTCAACTAAAGGCTGCCCCTGGGCATTCAGCTCACTCACACCTGGCTTGGTTTGTAGCGTCTCAAGGGTAGTTAGGAGGCAGAGCTGGCTCTGAAGATGGCTAGGGGTGCAGGAAGAAGTTTGTAGCCACTGAGGTGTGAGTAGTCAGACTATGGGTGGGAGGAGGTGGGTTTAGCACTGCCCTAGTCTTGCCCTGGGAGGAAGAGCAGTGAACACCTGGTGGAAGGGGGCGTGGGGAGGGGGAAGAGGCGGGGCTTAAGTGGTTGGGAAGAGCCTGGAAGCTTTGCCTTGAGCAAGGATGTTCAAGATTAGAGCCAGGACTGGGCACTGGTCCTGCACGGCTGTTCCCAAGCGGATCGGAGGGGGCGGGTGCCAGGTTGGGGGCGGGGTACCGGTCGGATTCTGGCCCCACCCAGCTGTCAAGGAACAGCTGGCGACAATCGGAGGGAGAAGCAGGCGGTAATTGAAATGTGGTACCAGCTGTGTGGGGGTTCCCTAGGTCTGCAGGATGTCACCGTCGGGGGACACCTGGATAACTAGGATGATGTTGAGGGGATCCTCGTGGTTGGGGATCGGGTGTCTTTGATCCCTGACCAAGGAGCGGGTGACTTCCCGAAAAGGGAAAGGCAGTAGGATCCTGGGGAAGGTCCTGATTCCGCCCGTCGGGGGATGAATAAAGCCAGAGGATTTCCCATTCTAGCAGTAGGAATGTCCGGGTCCTGGACTGGGGCGGCGGTTGGAGGCCGCTCGGCGCGCGGTGTGCATGCATCTGCAAGCCGGAGCGCGCCGGCAGCTTCTTGCAGCTCCAGCCGCGGGCCCAGACGACCGTTTCGCTGGTGGCGCTCGGCGCTCGGCAGGCCACCCTGGGCGCGCCCCGAGGGGCGGGGCGGAGCGGGCTCAGTGG